ATCCACCCCTGATTTCCATTGGTTACGCACTGAATTATAGTTATATTCATTATAGACCATTATAGACCATAGTCGCATCGAATGAATCGAAAACATTTTGAAAAAATGTCGAAAGACAAATTGAGCTTGTGGAATTTTTTTTTCAAACTTGCCCTATAGTTTAGTGGATACTAAAACACAGGGTCCKTGCAGAGTCAGTCAAAAACGAAATTTAAGGACTTTTCAAGGACTTTTTCAAGGAGCTTCAAAATCATGCTAATTGTACGTATTCCTACCTCAAAACTTCAGCCGAAMGGAATAATTCAGAGATCGCTAGCGCTTCGTGATAGAGATCCATCTTTTTCAAGTAGTTTTCAAGGACTTTTTTGAAATTTTCAAATTTTCAAGGAGTTTCAAGTGTCCTTGAAAACAAGTTTTCAATTCAAGCACTTTTCAAGGAWTTAAGGACCTGCACGGACCCTGAAAACAATTGTACGTCGTGGACTATCACTCGTAGTCAGTATTCGACCATTGAACCAGAGTAATCACCACATTATTTAACAATTACAAATTTTATTGATCAGATCCTATTTTTCTTTGTACAAAGTGCGATCTTTACCAGCCAGCGAGCATTGTAATTTCTAAACTTTATTCATTGACTCTACAATCGTTAACAAAATCSTTGGRCCATTCCAACGAATTTCCTCCTTTTAAGCAACACCCGAAGACAATTTCATCTCCCCTGACCCCCTAAATGCAATGTTGTCCTGGAGAATGTTACGAACTATMCAAAACAAGACCCAACATTGATGGAAGGGGGCTAAGGGGGAGAACTGTAAAAAATATAAAGGAGAAAATTGTTAGGCTGGAGACAATTATATTTTAAATAACATTATTTGCAGTAATCATGAGAACTACTCAATGGTTAATATAAAGAAAACACCCTGGTTGATATTAGCCTGGGTCACGTGAATACCCCTTATTGGGCTATCGTTTSTCCTCGGACATATATCAAACAGGGTAGTCTGGACCTGACGAGTGATGTTGCTCTTATAACAAGCATATAGTCATTTTGGTCAACAAGATTTAGCACTACGACAAGAAGAATAAAAGCAATTTTTTTGGAGGCACAACAGAAAGACGATTAAGCGCTGTCCTGAGGAAACTGTGCAATTATATGCAATACTTTGCAAATTTTTGATAAATAATTAAATAATGATTATATAAGCTCAAATTGTTGTATTGTTGCATGTCGTATTCTATGACCGAAATGCATTCTTGGTATTGGTAATTACTGAAGCAAGTACATGTACCTCGCCTTCATAATGCTAATTACAGCGCTGATGTTTTATTTTGCATTGATTAATCAATTATTTTATCTTCGAGTGTCGGAAAGATCTCTCGCTATTGTGTTATTAACATTTTTTTTAAAAGTGAGAAAACATAGATATTTTATAGATAATTATATTACATTATTATATTGCATTTTTTATATTTTAATAAAATTGAAATTGAAAATTCAATTAACCATTCATTACGTTATTTCATAAAATATGAATACTAATGATTTTTAAAAATAACACAACACTTTTAAATTTCAAAGACATGTTTCGACTTTCATAAAGCCATCTTCAGCTTGTAATCACATTCAAACTGAAGATGGCTTTATGAAAGTCGAAACATGTCTTTGAAATTTAAAAGTGTTGTGTTATTTTTAAAAATCATTACATCACTTGTGCTTTTACGCTCAYTTTGAATACTAATGACATCACAATTCCTTATTTGCACCTCAAAATATATATTCGAATTTAGTGGGCATATCTTCATAAACCTAGAATTTTTTTCTGTTCAAAATATAACTCGAGTCTTGCTAATGCATACTCCTGGAGAAGAGAAAATAAAGAAAAAAACATTAAAAACAATTCAGACTCAAAACCAATGTAAGTATCTTTGAATAAACTGGATTTACATTCTCCTGTGATTTCGGTAAATTATTTTGTCTCCTGGACATATGGTTTTACGTGACACTGTGTCAGGGTACCGGACATGTAAACACTTCGATTCATCTTGATTGCGTTCTGGAGGAAGTACCGGGGACGCTCGTTAGATCTCTTAGGGGTAAAAATTCATGATTGGAAATCTTTAAGGGTGCCAATTTGGAGTTTCTGGAAATTTGCATTTTCTTCAATCTCTTAGGGTGTCGAAAAAGAAGTGCGTTTCTGTGTTTTTATCATTGGAACTGAATAATTTTGAATTTAACAATATTTGTTGTGCAATCTCTTAGGGGTTACAAATCAGTCAGCCACGCCCTTTTTTCATGACATCCGGGATCTTTTAATGGTCTTTTTGAAAATTTCTGACGAGCATCCCCGGTACTTTTACTCCAGGGCCACAAAGTACAAAAACAAAGCAGGAATCACCCGCGACTTAAAAAATGGTTATATTTGATGTATTAGGTCGCTTTTGATTTAGTATTTGAGAGCAACAATATACTTACCAAATATCCAAATTGAATTGTTGACATTTTAGTCTGAACAATACTCCACATCCCCC